CCCCCCAAACTGGCGGAACACCAGGGCCCGGTCGCAAATGCGACTGATGCAGCCCTGGTAGTTTCGCCAGTGCCGGTATCTGCATTTAGTATTGGGTCATTTTCACGAGTACGAGTGCTTGTGAAAATGCCCAGTATTGGCACAGGTGCATCCCTACTTAATATAATGTATTGCTGGGACTTGCAGTCCTGCATAGTTGGCGGTATTCAGCATTGCTGTATAATCATTATACATCAATGCAGAACACCACCAGCTATACAGGACTACAAGTCTAAGCAATACATTATAATGTAAATTAGAATACCCCCAGTTTAAACCCCCCCCCCCACCAGTTTAAACCCCCCCCTTTCCCATCTAGCCTTCGCCCAGCCTTAACTGACTCCTGCAGCAGCTGCTTCATCTCGGCGGCCAGAGGGTCCTCTCCCAAGAGACAGGTGACCGAGACAGGTGACCGAGACAGCCTCCTCTCCCCGCACAGCTGCCCGTACATTCTACTGCTACGGGTGGCATAGCGGCTCTGCTTCCTCTCAGGGCCCCCCCGAACAGGCGGAACTCCTTGGCTAACGAAGGGAAGGAGGAGTCCGGTGACGTCACGGACATTGATGTCACCGGACTCCCCCCCCCTTCCCTTCGTTAGCCGATGGAGCCACTTGGGGAAAGGGAGGAGTCCGGTGACATCACCGGATCTCTGACGGAACTCTCGGAAGACCCGGAAGCCGGCGGAGGTGAGTACCGATCAAAAGAATTTTGATCAATCAAAAAAAATTAACGATTAAATCGAGGGATCGTTAATTTCCGCAGCCCTGGTTTTTTTTTTAAAGCCCCCCCCTTTTCGGATCCTTGCATACCCAAAAGTGAGTTACTTATCACTCTTTCCAAAGCTCTTCACTATTGTTCCACAAATTAACAGCAGCTGTCATAGCCACTCACAACCGCTGCTTCTCGAATAAACCAAATAACTTTGAAAAATATGGGAGTAGAACCCCTGAAATATTTGATCCTCTGGAACCGGGACAACAACGTCCTGGGACACAAGATTTTGGACACATGCCCATAATGCCACTGCCTTTAAGCGATCTTTTGGCCGAGGCGTAAGGAAAAAAGTTTGTGGAGGGAGAGCCTGAAACTCCAACCGAACACCCCCTCTTATTAAATCTAGTATGTACTGATTTTGTGTGATTTCCACCCACTGGGGAAGAAAAAGAGAAAGTCTCCCTCCCACTTTCAATGTGGCGTCATTTTGACTCCTTGTTGTAGGAGTCAGGAGGAGTAAAGAGCAAACCTTTTTGCTAAAGGGCCACCTTTTCCTCTGCTCCTGAGGTCTCCCCCCTTGTTTTTTCTGGTCCTGGGGGCCTCGAAAAAACCTACGATTGCGAAAGGGCTTTTTCTTTTCAGGGAATTTCTTCCCCTTTTCTGAGGATCTAGTAAACACGTCTTCAAGGCCTGGACCAAAGAGCAACTTCCCCTCAAAGGGCAACCCACACAACTTGGATTTAGAGGAAACATCCCCCTCCCAAGACTTCAGCCAGATAGCTCTCCTAGCTGAATTGAGAAGAGCTGCTGATCTAGCCGATGCTTCGAACAGATTCAGCCGCAGCATCAGCCAGATATGCAACTGCTTTACTCACGACTGATAGAGAATCTATCACTTGTTCCGCAGGGGCCCCTAGGGAAACATGCTGTGAAACCCTTTCCAACCACAAGTCTAAGTTCCTAGCCACACAGGTGGAGGCCAAAGCCGGGGTCATAGCAGAGGAATTTGCATCCCATGCTTTTCGCAACAAGGCCTCTGCTTTGCGATCCATTTGATCTTTCAGATTCCCTGAATCCACAAAGGAGAGGTCCTGTTTTTTAGACACCTGCGATAATGCAGCTTCTAATTTAGGGCATTTAAAAAATTTCTCCTCTTTTTTACCGAAAGGAAAACGCCTCTTCCAAGACCGAAAGGCTAAATGCTTCCTCTCAGGATCCTTCCATTCACCTAAAACTAAATCTTTTAGTGTTTGATGGAAAGGAAAAACTCTACCTTCGGAATCCTGCAACCCCCTGTAAAGCCTATCTTGCACAGAACAAGCTTTTGGAGGTTCAGGAATCTGTTCAGTAGTATAAATAGCCTGTAACAGATCGTCCATGTCATCTAGAGCAAAAAGGTGACGTGGCGGTTGAATCTCCACATTCCCTTCTACAGCCTCTCCCTCTTCTAGGGAACTGTCAGTATCTAAACCAGAATGCTCCTCTTTCTCTTCTACCCGAGTAAAAGCAGAATTAGAAAGTGAACAAGGCAGAGCAGAACTTCCAGATGGCCCTGCAGAGGCAATCGAGGAGGTAGTGATTGGCAACAGTTCAGAAAAAACATTCTTGAAAGATTGCACAGCAGTCACCATTTCATTACGCATACTGGCCATAAAGTCCTGCATAAGTGATGAAGATTCACTCAACATAACCTTCTGTATACACTGTTCACAAATGGCCTTGGAGTAATTCAGAGGTAATTTAACATTGCAACTGCCACACCGCTTCTTCAATGCTTTAGAAGATGAGGCAGAAGGTGGAACTGCTAATTGGGCTGCAGACTTGTCCCCCAGAAGTGCATCCTGAAGAGAGAGGCACAAAACACTGTATCAATACAGCTACTGGGAGCAATAAGGGCACCCCCCACCTAGACTACACCCAGTCCCTCGAAAAGCATCACTCACCGCTACCTTGGACCTGGGTGCAGACATCGTCGGCTTGGCTTCTTCCTCCATTTCAGCCTCGGCGTCGTGCAGCAACTGCATTCTGTCTGGCCAGCGTCTCCGTGGCGAAGGGCGGAAGTGACGTCACGCCGTACCGGAAGTGACACTTCCTAACTCAGAACGAGGCTTGGAACACGGAAGTCCCGCCTCCTTTGCCCTCCACTGAGCACCAAACAGGGCAAACAGCCCGGGGGAAAGATAAGCTAAGTGTCTACCCTTAGGTTTGGGAGAGACCCAGCTACCTCTAAGGGAACAACCTCTGTACCACAAGAAGGCAAGGCTCAGGAATCCAGTACCCTAGCAGAGCCCTACAGAGGGTGACTGCTGACCTCAAGGCCATCCAGTCGGGACAAAGAAACAAACATTGCGCTGACCCAGACGGTAAGAAACACAATCAAAAACTGAGGTACGAGGGGGGTGGGAGGGTTTTTAACCTTGTCTGATTGTGTTTCCTGTAGACTGAAGATCCAATCATCTCTCAGGTTGCTGTCCTGGAAGATGATTGGAGAAAATGTCCTTTCAGGTTCCTTCCATTCACCCTCTACTAACTCCTTCAGAGACTGGTGAACTGGAAAACACCTACCCTGTGTCTCGACCAGCCCTCTATAAAGGCGATCCTGTACCGACACAGCCTAAAGGTGCCCATACACTGTACGATTATCGTACGAGAATCGCGGATAATCCTGCGATCGTACGATAAAGTGTATGGAAGGCGTGCGAGTGTTTCATTCAGGGGAGGCGGGCTTGCGATGATCGCAAGTACGATCTGCCTGTCCAAGATGGGCAGATAGCACGTTATTTTAATTACTTTACAACCCTCGCAAGACAAAAAGTCTTGCGAGGGTTGTAAAGTGTATGGTCACCTTTAGGAGGATCCGGGATTTGTTCAGTGGCATAAATGGTCTGCAACAAGAACTCCATATCCTCTAATGGAAACAAATGCCGTGAAGAGCGGGAGTTCTCTCCCTCTTCCCAGGAACTCTGAGTTGGAAGCGGAAGCCGAATCCCTTCCCTCTACCCCCTTGTCTGCCTTTCTGGCAAATGGCACTCCTCCCGACTGCAACCCTAAAGGGCCCGGTAACTCTGGCTTTCCCAGGGAAGCAGGTACCATCTAAGCAACAACACGCTTAAACGACTGCATAGTCATCAACTCTGATTTCACAGAATCAAAAAAATTATTCATCAAGGTAGAGGATTCAGCAACTAAAAACCTATGTATGCAGGATTCACAGAAGTGTTTTGCATAATCAGGAGGGAGTTTAATGTTAGTTACCACAGCGCTTTCTATATTATTTGGCAGCTGGGGCAACCGGTGGAACAGAACCGAGGTAAGTGGTTTTCTCAGCAGGAGAAGGATCCTAGGCAATAGAATTTAAAAAAAACAAAACACCTCAATACATGCCTAACCACCTATCCCTCAGTTCTCCACCACAATGCTAGCTCAAATAGGGCAAATATACTAACCGCACCCTTGGACTTGGAAGCGACAGCCGGCCTGCCTTCATCCTCCCATCTGGATGGCAGCGCTATCTTTCCCCCAAAACTGTCCGAGTTGACAGCTCAGCCACGAGCGGCGTCCCGGCGTGGAACTGCAGAGAATCGTGCAGCGGAAGCGACACCGCAGCAGCCACAGGAAATTACATCACCGCCTGGGTCTTGGAACGCACGACACGCCTCCTTCTGCGTTCCACTCACCGGCTCCCGCCAGCTCACAGCGTGCAGCCACCGCCAAGCTGCCGAAGCCGTTGGTCAGGGCACCACCGCCGGGGAACCTCAAGACCCTTCCTGCCTGGTGTCTGAGTGGACGAAGAGGACAAAAAGAGGCAACCCCCCCCTCTACACAGCAAGGTGACCGGCACAGAATAAGACCTGAACACAGAACTGCAGAGACCCGCGACCACAAGGCCGACCGGTCAGGAAAAAAACAACAAACCGTACCAAAGGTTCCTGGACGGTAGGAAACACAAAGAAACAGAGGTATGAAGGGGTGGGAGGGTATTTTGACTGGAAGATGATTGGAGAAATTGTGTGTTTTCACATTTCTCTGCTAACTGCCGACTCTTAAATATCAGGTTTGGATGGGCACCACAGAGAGGCCTGATAACCCCCCCTCCTATCCCTCATTGAGTGGTGAAGATTAACTCCCAGTAGTCTTTCTCCTTCTGCGCTCTTCCACGTTATAAAAACAGTATGACTATTGCATTTGGACTTCTCTCCTAAGTATTCAAATTAGTTTAAAATACATTTCATGAAACTGAGCAAGCCTCATCTAAACATTTTATAATAAAAAGGAAAAACTTTAAAAATGTACACAGTATTAGCAATGTCAGTTTTGTACGGTTAGACATTCTGAAAAAACTTACCTCAATAACAGGGTCATTGCTATATTCTTTTAGAAGTTCAAGCATTTCAGGGTCTCCAATAGCACCTAAAGCTTCTCCTAGTGGGTAAAAGAAAGAAAAAAATAGTTCTAGCAAACTAATTTATGACATTTTCTATGCCTTTAAAAGCAGATTACAGGCAATTGTTCTCAACCCTTGGAGTGGGGATCCCCCCACATTGCAAGGATTAAAGTGCTGGTTTTTGGCTAGGTGCTAAAAAAAAAAAAGAAAAGTTATGCCCATCTTATGCAGAATCACCAGGTGAAATATTAAATTTTTTGCACAAGAACATATCAACTCGCTAAATTTCTGGCAGGAACAATAGGCATCTTTGTTGCACTAATCAAATTACAAAACATTTGACAAAAAAAAAGGAGGAAACAAATAAGAGAAATTACCGTATATACTCGAGTATAAGCCGAGATTTTCAGCCCATTTTTTGGGGTGAAAAGTGCCCCCCTCGGCTTATACTCGAGTCAGCTTGCTCTGGTGTCACTTTTTTAAAAAGTCAGCGGGCTCTGACTCGAGTCAGCGGGCTCTACGTACGCTGGTCACGTTCTAAGTAGGGGTGCCGAATCCACTGTTGATCGTTAATTTAATCTGTACTCACCTCTCCGCCGGCTTCCGGGTCTTCCGTCAGAGATCTGGTGACGTCACGTTTATATTCGGGACGGCTTATACTCGAGTATATACGGTAGTGGTCAGGATCTACATACATAAAGTGGAATTCCAGTTACAATTCTGTTTGAAAGAAAAGAGGTCGACACCAAATATTTACAAAAGACTTGGAGGGGAATTTACTGGAGCATAGAGAATCTGGAGCAGTTGCCCATGGCAACCAATCAGCATGCACCTTTCATCTTCAAACCAAACCTGTACAAACAGGAGAGAAGCCGATTACTGGTTACTATGGACAACTGCTCCAGATGCGGTCTGCTCCACTTTTGATAAATTCCCCCATGAATCTCTTAATTAAGTTATCAAGGAGACATCTTCTAACATCTAACAAGTGAAATTCACTAGAGGTGCACTGAATTGGAATTTTCAGACCTGAAATAAAAAGATTTGTCAGGTCAAAAACCGAAAATTATCTTTTTTCTAAACTTTTAAAAATTGTTTAATATTTATTTATTTATATACTTTACTGTTGGGGGCTCTGGGGAAATATCAGGGGTCTAAAAAGACCCCTGATATTTCCCTTTTGAAATAGAAAAAGATTGAGAACACAGAGTCCTCAATCTCTTTTTCTGCAGCCCCTGTTATGAATGAACAGGTATCCTCTATACGGAGTGCTCTTGTGCATTCAAACTGTGGATATAGTATGAGTTGCTATGTCCACAATCATGAATGAACAGGAGGTGATGTAGAGCACTCCCTATTCATTCATAATTGGGGACACGGTAAACATACTATGTCCTCAATTATTTACAAACACTCAGCGATCAGCTTGATCATTGAGTGTTTGTAACCGCTCTCCATCCGGACAGCTGTTGTAGGAGGCAGAGTGGGAGGTGTGGGGAGAAGCGCCCAGTCTCCTGTGACACGGCTGACAGCCGACTCCTTCCCTGCACTACCGGCTTGGCCTCCTGTGACAGCTGTCTCCTCCCCCCACAATGCTCTCCATCCCGAGTCTCTGCCTGTCATAGGTGGCCGAATGGGAAAGAAGAATAGGTGGAACGCCACGCCCCCTCCACCCAGGCAAAAAAGTGAGGCGGCCGCAATGCGAGGCAGTGTGTTCCGGCCAGAATCGGACCGGAACGCACTGCTTATGGTGTGAACTAACCCTCACTTAACGCAACCCTATCTTTTATATTTTCAAAAAAATTGGGTAAAAGTGTTTGCATGAACTGAAATTAATTTTTTGGTGAATAAAAAAAATAAATTGATTTGATAAACATTTGCAACACAAAAAACTGCAACTATATTTTTGTTTTCCATTTCATGTAGACTCCGCTTTCAGGAAATACATAAATCCTTGGGGGTTTTAAGTAATTTTTTAACCAAAAATTCAGCTTTTAGCAGGTGTGCGAAAAAAACAACATTTGCTCTGAGTGGTTAAAAGAACGCAAGATGTTTTAGGCATATAGCCCAGTGCCTAACTAAGCATATATAAAAGATAGGTGTGAATGATCAAGGACATGATGCATAGGTGGAACCAAAAGCAGTTCACTGAAGCAGAAACAGCTATGCAGAGGAAATAAACCAGGGCAAGGGATAACCACACTAAAAAGATGAGGTTGTAGTAGATTTGTCAAATATAGAACCGAGACAGGCGGTCATCCAGCATCAAAGTCTCTCCCAAATACAAATGTTGCCACACCTGGGTGTTTCCAGATGTACAGTCTTTCTCTGCAAGTTTTTCTGCAGTGGCACACATGTGAAGGCAGAGGATTGGAAATGCAGTGGTTGGGAATAGAAACTGAGTATCAATTTAACCTCCCTACAAAATCAGCATGTGGTCAGCTCCACCATCATGTCTGAACTGGCAAAACCTACTGGGACCCTGGTACACCCTTCTACAGTATTAAGACATCGGATCACAAGTGGCTTTATGGAAGAAAATAAAATGAATCTGAAGTAAAAACCCAAATGACTCCTACACACCAAATCACACGGACTTGGCTGCAGAAAAGTGACAGCTAGTGCTCAGGACTGAGGAGTCAAAATCTGACTGACAAAAGACAGTTTATCTAAATAAACAGTAGTAATTTCAAGTGACACTACACAGCAATTAAACCTTAACTATTAAGAAAAAGGTATCTTATTTATGTATCACTCAGCTGTAGATCCTCAAATCATCTGAATCCATGTGGACGCTATCCTTCCTTCCGGAGGGTGGCAACTTTTGTTCTTGGTGGTTCCTGTGTGTGTTGTAAAATAGTCACTGCTCCAAGCTTACTCCTATGATGGACTACAATTTCATGTTTAGTTTCCTAATTTGTAGTGATTGCAGTCCATCATGGGAGCGCTGGATACACGGAGGGACATTCCATTGCTGGAATAGTCTAGCAGGCAGCTGGTAGCCCCACTACTAGAGTTAAGACCAGGGGCATCCCCATAATGATGCAGGTAGGTGTGGGTGTGTTAGCACAGGCAACAGCAACCCAAATCCACCCCACCCACAACTGACAGCTTGGTTCTCTGCAGGCTGGCTGACAGCTAGGCCCAAATCACTGCTGCCCCCTTTTCCTGGCTACCTCAGGATGCAAATAAGGTACAGATGGCCCTGGTTAAGACTATTTCCGCCCAGATTTGTTCTGTAACCATTGCCGTGTGGGGTAGCCCTACTGCAAGGGTAAGTTTTTTTCTCTACCTGGAGATGGGCCTAAAGGACAAGTATGACCTGCTTTGACATTCATTTCCTAATAAAACCCAATGAGACGCTTTGCCATTTAAAAAAAATGCCTAGCACATGGAGGGTCACTGTCAAACTAGGATGGCAGCTCTCACCTGCCTCATGGCGGACCATGGGCTCCTGGCTGCGATCTTTCAGCACAGCGCTCAGTATGGGAAGTGCACTCCTGTCCCTCATCTGTCCCAAGCAGTAAGCCAGTTCATGCTTCAGTAAGGCCGATTCATCACTGAACCCACGACCGATCCAAATCACGGCGCTCGGTCCACCTATATTACGAAGCGTGAACAATGCCCGGAACCGCGCCGGCAGGGGCCGACCGGTATCCAGCAACACCGTACCCACGCTGTCAATGTCTGTTTTACTGGGCGCCATGAAGTAGAAAGAGAATAGAGGCGATGGGAAATGAAGTCATGCGAGACGGGGCTAGAGAGGGCGGAGTGTGTGTACGTTAGAATAGCAGTATATGTTAGTTAATGGTAGCGGCTAGTTCCATCCCGCAGATTACCCTGTGACGTCACAGGAAACATGTGACCAGGAAGCAGGCATTACTAGCCGGGAAACTCTAATGAATAGGAGCTGCTATACAGTGATCGAGAGGCTGCCATCAGATCACATATTTTTCATTGTAGGTCTCCCTCTCACCCCCTCTGTCCTTCTTTTACATTATATCCTCTCTGTGCCTTTCTCTGTATACCCCCCCCC